TCCTCAAAACAGGACCAGCTGAATTCAGACCAGGTTCCTCAGGGCTTTTTCCAGTTGCGTCTTGGAAACCTCCAAGACCAGAAATTCCAGAGTTTATCTGCAACCTGGTTCAATGCTGAATTATCCTCATACTGATTTTTATTTTTTCCTTATATCCAGTTAGACTCATAGGGGTCTTGCAAACTTTGTTTTGTTAAATTATGTGGTTCTTAGAAAACAATGAACACTCTGTTCTTTCATTCGGAATATTTTCTTGCAGGTCATCCACAAACATTTTTACTTGAAAAGAGTGGAGATCATGGCTCAGTGTGAGGAGTGGATAGCAGACATACAGCAGTACAGCAGTGACAAACGGGTAGGCAGGACTATGTCCCATCACGCAGCAGCTCTGAAGGTGAGACCTGCTTTTATAATTTTATGTTCTTTAATCCAAGGATGACAAATGGCAATGAAATTGCTCAGCAGCTGAGTTTTATAATAACAATAATAGAAAACCCCAGCAACTTCAAAAACATGTAAGCAAACCTAAGTTTCGCAACTGTCAAGAGATAAAGTGTATGTGCACTCCACTTTCTCAGTATTTTTTCCTTTAAGTTAGATTTTCCTTTAGTGCCTGTCCTGCCTATTTTTATCTAAATACTTGTGTAGGATACAGAGAGTTTATTTTATTCTCTCTAAGGGTGGGTGGGGGTTTATGATCAAGTTGTACTACAACCAGTTCCTTGCCAGAAAACAAGCTTTTTGAATGGACAAGCAGTTATTAAACTGTGGTCTATTACAGTTAGTTTTACCCTGTGTTAAACTCTTATCCACAGTTCCAGCCACTATAATGTTTTCTCCCTTCCTAGCCAAGTACTATCATTTCTGTATTTTGTGTCCACACAGACAACAGACCTATTTTCTTTTATCTTCCCCTGAGGAGCAAAAATAAATAAATAAATAAAAATTTTAAAGGCGGCTTTTTTCTGTTGCTAGACTTGCATTCTTTCAATGTGACTGGTCGTCAGAATGAAGTTACCGTTGGTTATTACAATCTAATGTAAATCTCCGTGTACCTGTCTCTGCAACAGATCTCATCGAGACCATGAACTCCTTAGAAATTTGTGTTTGGGCTGTATGACCTACCTAGTCCAAGGCAGTTTCTGCTGTGATCACAGAACACAGATATGACTCAGCTGCAAGACAAATAGCGTAGCATTTATATCGATGCACGTGTTTGCTGCAGTTCTGTTTACTGCCTTTAATTTGTCCCTAGCAGCATTTGCTAATTACTCTGTCACTACAAGGAAAGTACCAGTCCTTGAATACAGGGGAAAAGCGTATCCGGTCATGGAATGAGTACGCTTACACCTTTTCTACTTACTCCTTTTTTTGCCTTATGTTCTCTAACATTGTGAAAAGTAATGTTTTAACTGTGGTCTCAAAGTCCATATGACTCTTTTTGTGTATTCAGCGTCATACAGCTCAGTTGCGGGAAGAACTTCTAAAACTTCCCTGTCCTGAAGGATTGGATCCAGACGCTGACGACTCCACAGACAAATGCAGTGCCACGACAAGTTCAGAAGAGACTATGTTGCACGAACAGGTTAAACCCAGCAGCAGTAAAGATATCCCCACTGATTTCAAGTTATGAGTTGCATTGACATGGACTTTCTAGACACAAAGGCTTTGAAGCACAAGCCAAATATGTCAATATTTGTATGTAAGAAGCTAATTATGTAATAGGTAATGAAATTGAAACTATACTATGCCCTTAAGGATATACAGTTTAATTCAAGATGATCTTTTATTTACCTGTACAAGAGTGTAAACTTTTTTGTGCTTTTATTTTTCAATTGTGAGAACCACTGATTGGTATGTTTAAAAAGTTATGTATACAAGAAATGGATAAATCACTGATATATAAGGGAAACTACCTTAGGAAAGAATGTTTACTGAATGTTTATTATTTTTTTTCACTTGTAGAGTGAGGGCGGTTGTAACAAAGAATATATATTGGTCATTCTTACAGCTACTATTTAAAGTCAGAAAATTTTCACTGAATTTGATAGGTTTTACGTTTGGCCATATATTCATGCTCATATTTGATTCTAAAGAAAACCTCCTGTATACTTCAATAAACGTTAAATGGACATGATCCCTCTTTTATGATTTACTGGTACATTTTTTAAATAAACTGCCATAAAATACGTTCTAGCTGAAAACTTGCACTTGTATGACTGAATTCATTACAGTCAACATATTTAATTTTATGCTTACTAATTCTAAAATGCAGATGAAATAAATGCACATGGTTTTACCTCATGCCAAAATTTGGACTTCTGAATTCATCTTTTGTTTGGCTATTTTATGCAAACTAACAGTATTCTAAATTTCTTAAGGGCTATTCTGGAACAAAGTCTTTTCTCTGTTGAAATGTCTGATTTTTACATAATCAGCTGTACTCTAAGTACTGACAGGGGCTAATGACGTGCCACGCAGGACTCCAACGTTCTGTAGTTCCTACTGTACAGACTTATTTCCAATTTTATACTTGCAACCCCAGACCCCTAACTAAAAAGGGTAAGGGATTTGCTTGATTTACTAATCAAGTCTCGCTTTTAACATAACATGCATTACTATCACTGTTCTTAATTTTTGAGCAGTCCTTGAAGGACTAAAAAGTTATTACTGGTATTACCTCAGACTAATGATCTGTTGTATTATAAGTACTATAAATCAGGCAAAAGCGAAGCTTTTTTGTTTTCTATTTGTTCTTTGTTTATAAGTATCACGCTGGAATTTTTTCACTTTTTGTTTTACAATGTATTATTTCTAATCATTAAAAATGGCACCAACTGAGGTTGTGTTCTTATGCTGATGGTTAACAGACTTCGATAGTTCTGACCGAAGTACAATTTTCCTGTTAGATTGATATGTTGCGTTAATCCAAGGCCTGTCCCGATTGTACATACCTCTCAAAATACCAACTTAGGCACGTCTGCGTTACTTCAGGGGATCCTTAATCAAAAAGCAAAACAAGCAGCTCTGTGCCAGAGCTGCTGGTAAATACGTGACACAAAGAGTTTCTGCCACATAGTCAAAGTGTTAGAACTTCATCAGTGTTAAAACAGCACTGCGTTTTTCTAGATGGGTTATTTACTTACCTTCTGTTACTGTACGAAATGACTGTGATACTCTTGTAAAGGCTCCAAAAGCAAAACTACCCGCTGACTTCCAACTATTTTTAAGTTCGTGGTTTCCATTAGAGCTCTTCATTTATTGCTTAAACCGTCTGCCTACAGAAGCATAATCTTTTTATAAAATCCTGGTACTTGTGCCAAAACCAAATGTATCGGACCTGAAGATCCTCCTCAAACGTGAAGACTTTTTTTTTTCCCCATTAAAAAACAACACTGAAATAAAAAGTACCTAACTTGCATCGATTTGACATTAAGAGGGTGGCTAACATAATTGTACCGTTTTCTCTAGTGTGTATTTATGGTATCATAGCAATGCTAATGTGAAGTCACTGCTGCTTAATTAAGCAGATGTAAACAGCTGCATGGGATATTAAACTCTAATTTGTATCCACGTACCAATTATCCTTTTTTTGCTCTAACCTGAGCTAGAATGGTATTGGACCAAATTAAAGCAGAGATTCAGTCCTTCATAACTTGCAACTATGTTACAGTCTAGTAAGTAAATTGCGAACTTGGCAACAGATACAAAATACGTATTTTCAGGTTTTTAGGTCTAACACACAAGGTAGCTATGTTACTTTGCAGTAAAATCATAGTAAACTCTGAGGTATGTAGACAACCGAGTATTTTTTTAACCAGTTCCTCTCATCTTTTACCATTTCATCAAATTGAATAGAAACCTGTATAGACAGATCACAGTTTCTAGCCATCACATGGAAGTACTGTGTTTTAACTGTTAGGCTGTTCTTGTAGAAGATGTTTTAAAAATCAACAGAAATTATTTTCAAAAGCACAAAGGGCACCAAACTGCTAATTAGCTTGTTACGGAATTTTACCCCATGGGTTTTGGTACTGCCTTTGGCCCAAGATTCACCGCTGACACGTTGCCATGCAGTGTAGCGTGGGATGTCACCAGCCATTGGAATCGCTGCGGTCACTCTGCCAAAGGAAGAGCGCAGCACATAAATCAATAGTCTTTCCTGATGCTTCACAGACAATAATGCCAAGCTTTCCCGATTCAGTCTACGCTATCTACCAAAGAGGGAACAGCTCAGCAATCTATGAGACCTTGTGCTCCATGAGAGCAAACCACTCGTTACACTGATCGCTATGCATAAACAACTGTTCTGTTTTGCAGTTGTAGACACAGTAGTCTTCAGACACAGACACGAATGACCCCTCTGCAAGATGCAGTGATTTCCTCTGGAATTTCCTTTGGGTAAAAGATGTGCATAAACGTATGGGTTAATGCTCCTCTGTAATCCTACCAGTGCTATACAGGAAAAAAACAAAGATGACAACCTAGAAAAACCCAAGAAAATTTGAAACATAAGAACCCTGTAAACAACGTCAAGTTTCACTCCAGTAATTACATGTTAGATGTTTAGGTACTGGCAGAATAAAGCATGTGTGACTATAGATTGACTGGGTCTACAGCAGTCTGTTTGGCATTGTTGGATGGGGTTTGTTACCGTTTTTCTTCTCTAAATCTTTGACAAGTTCAAGGTGGAGATTGTGCACGTCTGCTAGTCTGTCGAGGAGCCTCCCTTGCAGCAGGTAAAGTCATGCCAACACAGGCAAGGCACTGGACTACTAGCTCCCTAGCTTCTAGGGAGCTTCAGTGTGGGTCTGTCATCAGTACTGTGGTTGGATGATGACCTATTAAGCAGCAAAGCTTGAATTCTTTATTTAAAAAAAGAAGAAAGCTCTCATACAATACAGGAAATAAATGTACTACACTACTTACAATGGCTTTAAGCCAATTTAACCTGTGCTTGCTATATCAAATAGGGCATTCAGTTTCTGGCAGGAATCACATTGTTAAGAAAACATTACTACAAAACTTTTTCCATGCAACTATGCAATCCTGTACATAGGATGTTTATTAGGGGAGCTTTTCTTCCCCAGAATGTTTCTGGTGTTACATAAACAAGTGTTCTATTTTACATCCCGAGGCAAACAACTTGGTAAGCAAACCACCATATTATTAACTTACCTTATTTACTCATCAATATCTGAACACCAATCCAGCTGACCTACATTTCAGCTGAGACTATACTATGTTACTCTGATCCCTGTGAAGGAGAATTATTTAGGCTTAGGTTTTTATTTGGAGTTTCTCAGGCACGTCATCTTCATTTTTTACCTCCATGCCGCCTTTGTATTAGTGTGTTTTCGAAGTGTTCTTTTCTTGTTTCCTTATTTGTTTCCCCAGAAGCCAGTAACCATCATGTGGACTCATCTCCCTGGATGGTCAACTCTCTGTAGTTAGAAAACAGAAATTAGAAGCATTTTTCAATGGAAAGGAGACAGATTTACATTTATCTTACCACAAGGAACAAGTATAAGGTACAGAAGCTACTTCAGATATATATTCTCAATTTTTTTTTTACCATATATATATATACACACACACATACATAGATAATATACCTATTTATATATGTATAAATGCATCAGGTCTGGCAGTTACTTGTCTTTGAAAAACAGGTTTTTGAGCTTTATTTTCCTTCTCGTTTTCTACAGATAGTGACAACATTAGGTGGGATGTGCAGGTGTTTATATCGGAACATGAGCTTTCTGAAATACAGTAAGCTGAATGGGGGTAAAAGTAAGTTCCACAATTACTAAAATGAATCACAGGTAAAAACATTTCATTCTCCAGAGATTTTATTGTTGCCATTATTTTATTCTCCTAGAACATGAGTGCAGAAAATACAATATCTACCCAGTGAATTACTATAGTAGAGCTCTAAAATAATCTCACCACTGCCTCTGTTTTTAATAAAGGCTCAGAGAAAACAAATCCCAAACCACAATGCTCTATTTTGATGGAGAGAGTTCTGCATATTGTGACCTGTCATCTCTGCAGGCTGCAATCTCTTCTTTTCTGTGCTGCTTGGCTCAGAAGCAACTTTTTGGCTCTTGAAAAGTGATAACCTGGTCCACTTAGTTCTCCACCTGTATTAATGCTACTTATCCTTTACATTAAGAGTGCCTATAATATCTGTATCATTTAATAATACAGTATCATCCTCAAATGTCTAGATAATATTAATGCTAGAGTTGGTAACATTTCTGTAATTCAGATAGCAAAATTTTGTATTTAAGGCTGTTTAGTTAAAAGTCCAGAAAGGAAAGAAACAGGTTCTTTATCAACCAGAGACTATGCAGGGCATCTAGCAGCCCTGCTTCTGAGGGAAAGATAGCGGAGTTAATCTTGGGAACCAGTGCAAGCAGAGCCCTAAGAAAATCTCCTGGGAGTAAGAAAACTGGCATGTTACTGTACCCCTCAAAAACATTTAGAAATGAGGTAACTGTGGTGAGACTTGCACACAACAGAAGTTGTTAGACCTCAAGAGTAATGCCCAAACTTATACTTAAACAAAATATAAGTGTGTATTTGCAAAAATAACAAGCAGGCTGATCTACTAAGGTTGCTAAAGCAATGAGTCAGACATGGTTTTGCAGGAGGAACATGCTTCTCAAACATATCATGTCTCACTGCATTTAAAAACCTGCAGCCACTTCCCTGTTGCCATTGTTGTGCTCCATATTTCCAGCTTAACCACTTACTGCATTTTTTTTAAATTTATTTGTCCTGCACCTCCATTCGTTGTTCTCTTTCTCACCTACCAACCCACATCCACAGACATGCACAAAGCCTTCAGCAGTTCATAAACTTTCTGCATAAAGCTCTATGGGTAGAAAGCAACCGCATCCCAGTCCCCCAGTAGCAAACATATGAACACATCTTGTAAAAAAAAAAAAAAAAAGGCAACCTCCCCCGACCAGAAAATTGAAGCAAACTAAAATCTCATAATAAAAAGAATTCAATTTGCCATCATTAAAGATTGTCTCTGTTGCTTCATTAAGCATTTTCTCATTTACCAGGAGAGCAAATGGGAAAAGCAAAATGTGGGTTTTTTTCCATCTTTTCTATTTTCTTTCAGATATTTAAACAAGCATGTGATTCAGAAAAACAATACTAACAGATAGTGTCTTGCAACCTACTTCTAAACAATGGTTTGGATGTCTCCAGAAGTCCTGTTCTCTCACCTTGAAACTCTTAAGATTTCAGCCACAGAAAACCTTTGCCCATACCTAAATTAGTAATAACCATATCAATGCAAACTTCCAGGACTTTGTCAGTCAAAAGTCCTTTGTTTGAAACCTCTGGTAATAATCACAACCACCTTATTTCTACAATTATTTTAAGCAGCTTGTAAGAAGGTGGCGGAGTTGGATGCCACACAGCTGTACAGCAGTCTTAGCTGAAGCCCAGCACAGCACAATTCTAAACCTAGAGTATGACAGCAACTCTTTAACGCTGCACAAGGGGGACCAGCGTAGTTACTTTAGGATGTAACAGGGCCATCATCATTACATATGCACAACCAGCCTCGCCAAGCATCGGCATTCTCACATCAGGGAAGCCATCGTGCCAGATCCCTGTGCACACTGGCTGGGAACGGTCCTGCGTGATGCAAGTCCCAGCCTCCATCCTGGCTATAGCTACAGATCAGGCTGTCCTGAAACCTTGCAAATGGTTGCTGGCACCATACTGTGGCAATGGTTCAAGAGGAAACGGAGGTGACGTGGCAGATCAAAAACTACTAGCCAACAGCAGGATTGCTGGAAAGGACTAGGACCCATCCTCTCAACTACCAAGTTGTCACTGTGCAAATCTCAACTGGATTTTGAGGCAGTTTCAACCAGTGAAACTTGGTGAGACATACGAAATTCACAGGGGCTGGCCTCCGGCTCAGCAGCAGTCACAAGAGAAATCATGCGACCATCTGGCTGGCTGAATTTTGTCATAGCATGTGGGATTCTGGATAAGTCCCAGAACATTACAAAAGCCCCAAACGAGGGGGAAAAAAAATTCTTCCAGATTCAATTCAACACATCTCCCATCTGCCTCATGGTCACTAAAGGCAACAGACCGTGCAGGCAGGTCACACGCACCAAAACACCTGCTGTTGTATAGCTCCCTGGGAGGCTTTAAACATTAGCAACATGAAGGGTCTAATAGAGAGCACCTGATCCATATGACAGAACAGGGAAGACAAGGGTGGAAATTACATCTAAGTGATGATTTAGCTGGATACAGATTTCACTCTAGTTTAAAAAAAAAAACCACCACAATAAAAAAAAAAACCCCCCCACCACTACAAATATACGCTCAGTCACAAAGAATTGCCATTGATGACAGCAAATGGAGACTGAAGTAGAGGTACTCCAAAGAACAAAATATCCTTTTGTATCTGCACTGCCTACCGATGTGTTAAACCTCCTTCCGTTCTTTTCTAGCTGTTTCTCCAAGGAAATCATTCATGTTGGAAAACAAATAGCCAGATGAACAAATGACACACAGCAGGGAACTGAACATCAATAACCTGTATCAAAGGAGAAGCCAAGCCATTTAAACAAAGAATAGGAGAACAACAGTACATGGCTCCTGATAAACAACTGTGTAATTCAGGAAAGATGGTTCTGTCTTGAGCTCTCAAGACTCTGTACTGCTAGCAGAAATCAATGAAGGATAGTGCTGAAATTTCAAGATTGCATATAGAGAACTGCAGTAGAATGCTAAATTCAATGTGTGCCTACTGCAAGACATGGATTAGTCATCTGAATAAAAATAACACAGTTAAAATGCTTCTTGTGACACTGCTGTCTTCCTGAAAATGTTAGTATGACTTGCATAAGTGTATTTTTAATTGCTACTTGAAATACACTTTTGCTTTTACTTGCAAATGCATTTTCAGGCACAGAAACCAACAGCAAGTGATTTTCCATTGCCAAGTGTGCCCTCAAAGACAGCTGTCCAGTCAGTGTCACTAAGGACAAATCATAACTGTAAATTCATCCAGTTTTCATTTTCCCCTGATAGTTCATTTTCCACATTTCAACACACTGACCTCCTATGCATCACAGCTCCACTGAGGCAACAGAACAGTACTCTGTGCCCTAGCGTTCATCACAGGCTGCAATTAAGCGTCCTGCTGGTCAGAATCTGGGGTCCCACAGCAAAGCGTGCTTGATCTGTCATACAGAAATTCTCTATTCATTCCCAAATACTACATCCTGTGACTGATGCAAAGTTTCCATGCAGATTAAATTGCCAGCAGTGTTCACCTCAACCTTTGCCTTCTTTTTATCAGACTGAAATTGTTCCATAAGCCCTCTGGAAAAAATGCCACTATTTACATTTTTCCTAAATTTAAGTATTTCCGTAGTTGAACAGTTTTTGCCTTAATGGCTGTCATGGTTTA